TTTGTTTTGCTTTGAAAACAATTATTTAAATTAAAATACAATTAATGAATAGCTTTATAATAGACAATGATATGTGATATGAGATTATATTTTACAGTATAGTTAAGACACAACAAAAACAATTTAACTTAATTTAACACAAAATTAATACAAATTTGTGAATCTTTTTGTTTATGGGTCCCAGTGTTGGGCCTCAGAGCTCGGCTGCTCTCGAGTTATGTTTATAACTATTATTATTATTACAAGTGTTACTATAGTTAACAAAACTTATCATTATTTGATTCTAACTTATCATTAACTTTCAAAATGTATTTCTCATTCCATTTATTAAATTAAAATTAAGATTTAGTTTCCAATGAAAAAATTATTATTTGAAAAATTACTTCAATTACCGTCAATAAATTACTGTAATACATACAATAAACTTAATTATATTTCATAACATTGTATACACACCTGTCGTGTAATACCTATTGTTATGTAATATAACTATAGAAACATTGTTTACGACATTAATTTGTATAAACAAATGTTTATCAATAGATATTTTACATGTTTAATGAAATCGTTGTTTTTCTGTTTGAATTTCATTAAAACAATTTATTTGATTGACTTTTTTGTCTGAAAATTTTACGTCGAGTTTTGAAAATTTATTTTTGAAAATGTGTGAAAAGTATAGTAAAGACTGTTTCAACAAATTTGGTGACGATTTGTGTGAAGTATTGTTAAGTTATCTGTTATTTGAGGACCGATTTCGGTGTGAATGTGTGTCCAGAAAGTGGCGGACAGTTGTGTTTAAACACCAGACACGGCTCGCAATTGATTATGAATTGACGCGAAAACTAATAATTAATAAATCAAATAAATTGCTGTTTAATCGCAAGAGATTAACGTTAATACTGAAGAGATATCCGGAAATACAATCAATTGAATGCAACGATACTATCAATTGTCACGAAATGATTGAATTGTATGCCAAACACTGTATTAATTTAAATGCTATTAATATCTATTTAAACAGTGAGACAACTATTGAATCAATTGATATGTTGTTCGCAAAGTTTGCTAAACAATTGAAAGCAATTAAGTTGAATGCGACCCACGATTTTGAGCATGATAAAACATTAATTATAAACTGTGTTAGATTGTGTGAAAATATTACTGAATTAACTATAACATTTGCGTTTACCGACATGTTTCCCACGCTATTAGGTATCAAAAATCAATTATTGTTTAAAACTCTTCGCAAATTAACATTAAATTATAACAAAGAGTTTGACAATAGTTTTGGAATATTTGTTGAAAATTATAAAAATACCGTAAATTCAGTAAATATCTCATGGATTGACGTGAGATGTGATGATAATTCAGTGGCGATATTAATGAATGGTTTGTCACAAATGGACAAATTTATTGATCTCAAGATCTTATTGTCCAATCAGTCGATGAATGAGACGTTTTTGAATGGATTAAAAGAAATTGGTCTCAAATGTCGGCGATTGAAGAGTCTTTGCATTGGTTTACATTGCAATCAAACTGTGGCTCCATTTCGGCAATTAATACAAATAATTAACGAATGCTTTAAACACTTGAAACGATTGCTAATTAACGGCAATTTTTCCGAAGAGTTTACATTAACGAGCGATTCGTTGAGTGAATGCAAATGTTTAACGCACTTAACGATAGATTTTCCCATAAATATAAAAATCAGTGAATATTTACCAAAACTTCAATATTTATGTCTAAATAATTATACGGGCGTCGGATCGTTGAATAGTAAACATCATTGTACCAGGTTCCAATTAAAATAAAATTCAACTATTTAGTAACATGCAACCTAAGCTAGTTATAATATTTTATATTGTATTAATAAGTGAGCATTGCACTTATAAGATAAGTACACATTGCACGATAAGTAATATTACGGTAAAACTTGTTAATCACTTTTGTATAACGCATGACATAATAATGTTATGCAATACTTGTATAGCCATAGAAATAATAATGAGGTAAACATTGATTGCATTGAATGAATGAAATAAATTTTCATTTTGTTATAAATAAAATGTAATTTTAGTTATATTTTGCAATTTTTGTAATTAATTTTACGTTAAGTTTTGAAAATTTGTTTTTGAAAATGTGTGAAAAGTATAGTAAAGACTGTTTCGACAGATTTGGTGACGATTTGAGTGAAGTATTGTTGAGTTATCTGTCATTTGAGGACCGATTCCGGTGTGAAAGTGTGTCCAAACAGATCCAGAGAGTGATATTCAAGACACAAACCAAACTTAATATAAGGAAAAGCAAAAAGTTTATAAGTGTTGGCGAAAAATGTAATGATTTTACTGTATTTGAAACTATACTTCAAAAGTTGCCAAACATTACTGATGTGGACATTAGCTACGAGTTTGACGCAAATAATCCGGTGTTTGAGTTAATTATGAAATATTGTGTTTATTTAACGGATATTTCTATTAATTTCTATCAGGAATGCGATGTGAATGAGGAAATCATTAATAAATTTTTCGCACATTTTGCCAAACAATTGAAGAAAATTAAAATTATGCTAAATATGGTTAAATCGCTGGAGAATTGTATCGACAAAAACATTAGATTATGTGAAAATGTGAGAGATTTATACATTTGTTATAATTATTGCTCTAATGATGGCAAAAGTTGTGTCCATATATTCAACGGTAATAATGAGATTGCATTGAAAAAGTTGCAAAACTATTGTTTTTTCTTCAATAATGGGAATTGCGATAAATTTACACAATTTTGCGATTACTATAAAAACACATTCAAAAGGCTTGAAGTGATTGTTAACAGCGATTGCGATAATAAAACAATCAATAAATTAATCAATGATTTATTGCAAATGAAATCATTAATTGTTTTGGAGATTGAATACGAAAATGAGTCCACTTTTGGGCAATTAATTCTCGGTTTAAGACAATTGGCTCTCAATTTACCGACACTTAAAAAACTGGGGCTTTGAATGTCTCTGGAAGTGGAGGAAAACGGGACAAAACTATTGCAAACAATTAGCCAACACTTCAAACACATCCGACGTCTGGATATTACCGGCAATTATCCGTCCGATTATCTCATGACAAGCGATGCGTTCAATGACTGCAAACGATTAACTCATTTGAATTTGGGATTAGATTACTATCAAATGACAGACACTTTCTTCGATAATATCGGCCAAAATATACCGAAACTTCAGTCTCTATGGATCAGTAACTGTGTGTTAACCGACTTAACAGTGCAATCATTGTCACAATTGCGGCGATTGTCAGACATTAGTCTCAGCGGTGATCCGCGAAAGCAATCACTGGTCACTGATTCGGGTGTCAAAGAACTGACCGACAAATTACCCAAATTGAAACATATGTCAATCAATCTACACCAAAGGTAGAGTTTAATCGTTATCATTCACGCGTCAAATATAACAAAACTTTATAATTTGAAATAATTTTAATTTAATTAATGGAATGAGAAATACATTTTTAAAGTTAAATTAATGTTAAGTTTTGATAACTATAGTAAAACTTGTAATAATAATAGTTGTAAACATAACTCGAGAGCACTTGAGCTCTTAGGCCCAACACGGAGACCCAAAAACAAAAATAGATTCACAATTTTGTGTTAATTTTGTGTTAAATTAAGTTAAATTGTTTTTGCTGTGTCTAAACTAGAGCCTCTATTTTTCGGGACTAAAAACACTGAAATTCGGGCGGGATTCGGAAGTATAAAAAGGTCAAATTCGGGAACAAAATCGGGAGCAAAAACTCATAAAATTAAGCATGTAAATTTAATCGGGAATTCCCGAAAAATAGAGGCTTTAGTCTAAACTATACTGTAAAATAAATCTCATATCACATATCATTGTCTATTATAAAGCTATTCATTAATTGTATTTTAATTTAAATAATGGTTTAAAATGCGAAACAAAAATCTAATGAAATGAAACGTAAAAATTAATTTTAAATCAATTTGTTTTGTTTTCAGTCAAACTATTTTTAGTACATTATATAATTTATAAAAGAAAGTCTCGTTATTGTAAACAAACTGAAAATTGTGTACAAAATAATCAACAAATGTTTTACAATATATTAATGACTTGAAGAGAGATCTTGTTTCATATAAATGATATTAAAAGCAAAAATAATAAATACAATGCGTTATAACTTTAAAATTATTTTGTACACTATATGCGAGAGTCTCACTATAGACAAAATAGACACATGTTATACATTATAGACAAAATTCTAATTAAAAATCTCATAATAATTGGTAAAATATAATGAGAGAGAGAGAGAGAGAGAGAGAGAGAG